GCGGTGCGCCGGCCGCAGCGGCCATTGGAGGGTGAACCAACAGCAAAGGAAGACCTTTCTCTCTGTCTCTCTCACTGTCCACTCTGAAAAAAAAAAACCAAGAAATCTCAACAAAAGACTTAAAAGAATGAAGCTTCTGCATTGCAAACCTGGCTAGGGAGCCACTCACACAGGCCACAGAGAGAGAACAGATTTGGAAAAGTTCAAATTGAGAGGCCTATGAGATTCAGGGCAAATGTGGAGTTAACAGGTGAACACACAAACAGAATAAAAAAGTTTGGGACTGTATTAGTCCACTTTTTGTTACTATCGCTAAAGTACTCAGGAGGAGCTTCCTAAGAAGGGAAAGTTCTATTTCAGCTTATACTTCGGAGATTACAGTTCAGGACTGGGTGATCCCTTAGTTCAGTGACTGATGGTGGATGCTCATGCGAATGTGGAAGGAACGACCCCATGGTGAGCCAGGAAACAGAGTGAGAATAGCTATACTGCACTTGAACTCAAAAGAATCTCCTTGGAGGGCACACCCCAATGACTAAAGACCTCCCACCAGACCCATCTCTCAGGACACCAGGATGGTCAAGTGTCCACCCTCGATCTATCAACCATTAGCATCAAGACATCAGAGTTGAAGCATCTTGCAAGAGTTTTGGGGAGACAAGTTCTACTCAACCCAGGAAGAGACATCAACAGCTTTGTTGTCTTCTATGTCCTTGGAGACACATAGATGAAAATAATACACACAGATCCTTGCAACATTTCTTAAAAATTCATGTATAAACTTTGGCTTGTTGACTGAGAAAGACAAGGATTTAGAGTTCACTTGCCCTATCTTAACCCATTCATTTCAGTGTATCTATTAATCTATCACAAGATCTTCATTATGAAAATTCTTTATAAACTAGAAAGCAAAACGCACTGTAATGCATTCATACCAGGAATTCAAAGAGAGCAATTTTGGTGAAACTTTCCACCAGAAGCAACTTTATGGCTGCTGCTCTCTCAGATATTTTGGTTTCTTCAGAATAACAGCTCTGGTCTTCCTTAAAATTATCTAAGTGTATGTCACATGCAGACATACTCTCAGTTAAAGGGGCAACATCCATTTTGCAGGTCAGCTGCATCTGGTCTCGTTCCTCCTCCTCAGCTGCCTTTTGGGCATTTGCAGCCAGCTAGCACAGCTCCTTGAGGGCGGGGGACATCAAGTAGGGAGGAGGCGGCCGCACCTGCAGTCTCCTGGCCACTCCCACTTCCCTGCAGACCACGTGTTGCTCAGACCGTGGGTTCTCAGGCCGACTGCCTGCCCCTTGGTCTGCTTATGAGCATCATTTTCCAACTGGAAATAGAGAATTCTGTTGTCTGTTTTCCTTCGCTAAACCGGTCACAGAGGGGTGGGCATTGTGGCACCACTGATTAAGCTGCTGTGTGCTTCCTAAGGGTCATTGGAACTGCTGCGCCAAACACCTACCTCTACAGGTGTATTTAAGGGGCTCATTCCAGAAAAGGAAGATTAATTGTTCTGTATGAATATCACAAGGTAATTGACTTTTTATTGGCTTGAGGATTTTTTTTTTTAGATTTATTTATTTTACTTGAAAGTCACAGTTACACAGAGAAAGAAGGAGAGGCAGAGAGAGAGAGGGGTCTTCCATCTGCTGGTTCACTCCCCAATTTGCTGCAACACCAGATCTGCACTGATTCAAATCCAGGAGCCAGGAGATTCTTCCAGGTCTCCCACGTGGGTGCAGGGGCCCAAGGACTTGGGCCATCTTCTACTGCTTTCCCAGGCCATAGCAGAGCGCTGGATCAGAAGTGGAGCAGCCGGGACTCAAACCGGTGCCCATGTGGGATACTGGCACTGCAGGCGCCGGCTTTATGCGTTATGCCACAGCACCGGCCCCTGGCTTGAAGATTTCTAAAACCAAATCTTGCCTGCAGATGAAACAAGCACAATGATCCTTTATTCTAGACCAAGACAGAGGACTAAAACCAAGCAGCATGTAATTTAAATATTCAGAGGGTTCTGAAAATTTTCATAAAAATCCAAGTATCAACTTGAAAAACAGGTTGCATTCCATGACAGTAAATTACAAGCCCATACAAATAAGGTGGTTTTAGAATTCACTCCTAGTGAGGAGTCTCCCTCCCCATCATATTTCCCAACCAAATTGCAGGAAGCCGCTTACCACCCATTTTTTTTTTAAAGATTTATTTATTTATGTGAGAGGCAGAGTTACAGACAGAGAGAGGGAGAGAGAGATAGACACACACATAGAGAGAGCTTCCATCCCAAATGGAACCATTTGGTTCACTCCCCAAATGGCAGCGACAGCCAGAGCTGGGCTAATCTAAAGCCAGGAGCCAGGAGCTTCTTCCGTGTCTTCCATGGGGTGCAGGGGCCCAACTTCTACTGCTTTTGCAGACCATCAGCAGGGAGCTGGATCGGAAGTAGAGCAGCCAGGACATGAACTGGGGTCCATATGGGAAGCCAGAACTGCAGGCGGAGGCCTAACCAACTATGCCACAGCAACAGCCTCCACCCAGCTTCTTAACTGTAGCAGTGTAGTGTTTTGTCTGAAATTTTGAACTAAAGGGGCCACTCTTTCTTGAAAGGCAAACTTTTTTTCTTCCAAAGATTGATTTATTTATTTGAAAGGTAGAGTGACAGAGAGAGACAAAGAGAGAGAGAGAGATCTTCTATCTTCTGGTTCTCTTTCCAAATGGCCACCAACAGCCAAGGCTGGGCCAGGCTGAAGCCAAGAGCCTGGTACTCCATCTAAGTCTCACATGCAGGTGGCAGGGGCCCAAGTACATTAACTGTCTTCTGCTACCTTCCCTGGCACACCAGCAAGAAGCCGGATCAGAAGCAAAGCAGCCGGGACTTCAATGGGTGCTCATAGGCAATGTAGGCCTTGCAGGAGGTGGCTTAACACACTGAGCCAAAACAATGCACCCCCCCCACTTTTTTTTTAAGATTTTATTTATTTATTTGAAAGTCAGAGTTACACACAGAGAGAAGGAGAGGCAGAGAGAGAGAGATCGAGAGAGAGAGTGAGCGAAAGATCTTTCATCTGCTGGTTCACTCCCCCATAATTGCTGGAGCTGCGCTGATCTGAAGCCAGGAGCCAGGAGCTTCTTTCAAGTCTCCCATGTGGGTGCAGGGGCCCAAGGACTTGGCCCATCTTCTGCTGCTTTCCCAGGCCATAGCAGAGAGCTGGATCAGAAGAGGAGCAGCTGGGACTTGAACCAAAGCCCATATGGGATGCCGGCACTGCAAACAGCATCTTTACCTGCTACACCACATCGCCGGCTCCAATACTGGCCCCTTTTAATGACAATGCTTTCTTCCCACCAAAGACTGATTTCCTATGGCAAAACCGTATAGCACTTAACAAGATCTATCTTTAAGCAACATCTGATGAATGAATGAATGAATGAATGGAGTCACTTGTTTTCCTTAGGCAATAGCAGCAATGGTATTAACAAGGGACAGAGAGTGACAGTCCACAGGAATTGTGAAGCCTGCACACTCAGATTGCCTAGGCCATCACTGAGATCCCCAAAGCTTGTTCAAATGGGTACCATCAAAGACTTAGAATTGCTACTTCTGACCTGTTGGTCATAAGAGAACATGGGAACAGGCACTAAGTTTTGCAGGGTGGGGTGGGTGGGCTTCAGTGTTGATATCTAGCTTTTCTTTATTTTGGAAGGTGGACAGAGGTCTGCCAGGCAGAAGCGGTGGCCATGAGTTATTGCTAAAGCCACTGCATCCCAAACATAATTAGAGGAACACAATGCTGCTCATCCCCCACCACCAACTTTGAAAGCTGAACTGGGGCCAGCTGTCAATGTCTTTTCTCTTTTTCCTTTCTTCTTTTTCTTTCTATTGCTTTTTTTCCCTTTCATTTATTGATCTATTTGAAAGAGTGACAGAGGGAGAGACAGAGAGAGGTCATCCATCTGCTGGTTCACTCCTAAATGGCTGCCAACAGCCAGGTCTGGGCCAGGAGCCAGGAACTGATACACGGGTGTCAGGGGCCCAATACCTTCCCAGATACATTAGCAGGAAGCTGGATTGGGGGAGTGGAATAGTGGGAACTTGAACCAGCCCTCTGATACAGGATGCTGGTGTTGCAAGCGGCTGCTTAACCCACTATACCACACCACCCCACCTGCTGGCGTCTTGTCTTCACCCTTCATTGTCCCTCGTGGTTCTCACAACTTCCTGGGGTCTCAGACCCTGCCCTTTGACTGTATCTCCTTTTCCTTCAAAGCTGCATGGGAGCGCATGAGGCATACCCTGATTTACTTTTTCATAGACATTCAAAAAATTAACTTGATACAAGGCTCTCACTTAAGTTAGGCAATGTGAATATGGTTAAAAAAAAAAAAAAAAGATAGGGGTGGACATTTAGCCTAGCAGTTAAGTCATTTGTTGAGATGCCTGTGTCCTGTATCAGAATACCCGGGTTTGAAGCCCAGCTCAGCTTCCTGCTAATGCAGACCCTGGGAGGCAGCAGTGATGGCTCATGTAATTGGGTTCCTGACATCTACATGGGAGACAGATTGAGTTCTTGTCTCCAGGCTCGGGGGTTACTGTGGGCATTCGGGGAGTCAACCAGCAGATAGGAGCTCTCTCAAAAATAAATAAATAAAATCGGTGGAAACCACTTGATACTTAATCTAGGATTATACCGCACTTTGAATCTGTGTCATCTTGAGGCAAACTCCTTGTGGTCTCCTTTTTTCTTCTTGTAAGTGTTGGGTAAGAGGAACCTCTGGGTCCAATTCCAGGCCAATTCTGACCATCAGAGCATCTTCATGGAGCGTCTAATCCTTTGCACTGAACAGTTAACATCTCACAAAGATGGAAAATGGCAGCCAGGGTAGGGTTCAAAGCCCTGCACGCAGCAGGAGATGCAGTGAGAACAATGCAGGGCGCCAGGCTCTGCACACTTCCTGCATCTCTTTGGGTAGACAAATACACAGAGAGTCATGCAGCCATTTAATTAAAGGTTTATTCAATGAAAGGATGTATAAAAACTTACAAATCTGAGAACTCAACTATACATAGGATAGGATGGTGGGATATTCAGTTTTTAACATACGCGTACAGTATAGCTATCAACTATCCCCCCCTCCCCCCGTCCCTCTCCCCTTCGGTCCTTATTTCTGGCTCCTACTTTGTCTTGAGGGACTATTCTCTTATTGGCCTAAGGGAAGAGCAATGGACAAATTTTACTGCTTTCAGGCCAATGGAGAAAATTTTAGACATTTAAAAAGTTGGAGAATAAACTTCAAAATCAAGTTTTTCATTTTCCCCAAACAGCAACTAGATTTTTTTTTTTTTTGGTCCTGATTTCTCTTTGCCATTTTTGATGCTTCATGAATGCTGCCACTAAACTATCAGTGTTGACTGGTAAAGTCAATATGGTTACTGTATCTGCTCGCCACTTTCCCTACAAGAGGCACACATTCCTATGTCCTTTTCCCTGGAGTACACACACTGATTTTCCCTGTAGTACAGACAGATGGTTGGTCCTAAAATGAATTTACCACTGGCAACTGCTAGGAAATGGCATACCGGTTTCTATACAGAGAGACAATCTATAGAACAGTACTTTCAAATCTGATTTTTGAAAACAATAAATTTGCCGGAAACTAGAATACAGCGTTTTGTTGTTGTTCAACTTGGAAAGAAGCCAGCAGTTAGATAAGGCATGCGCATTAATTCACCTGTTTCTAGCAAGTACCCACACGCTTCCTCTTACAAACACACACACTCACAGCTTGTCATGTGTTATCCACAAATTAAGATTGCCATCACATTATTACTTTTTCTTTCGTGTTTTGTAAAGGTAGATTTCTTAACTAGTGATTTTTCTGAACGGGACATAATCTCAAAGGAAGCATTCTGAAGTAAGACACCTGGAGGGTAAACACTACGAGCATTTTCTTGGGGTGGAAGCTTCCCCGACACCTTCCAGATTTTGCATAGTACAGAGCCCAGCTTTACTTCAGGGAGAACGCTGCATTTTCTGACACTTTCTCAGAAGGAAGACTTATTACCCAGGGAAAGTCATAATTTTAGTTTACCAAATTGCATTCTGGTTGTTTTGGTTTGTTATATACCCTTCATTAGTTCCAAGTATGCTTTCAAGTAATCTAAAATGTCTCCAAATCTATTTGAGTTTATAAGTACTATGGACCATTATCCTTTCAAAATCCCCTGAATTTAAGTAAATATATTCCAGGTTTATAATGCACAAAGCCTTCACAGGGGTGGGGCGGGGGCAGGGGAGAAGGGGAAGAGAGGGGAACAGGGACCTGTTCGTATCATGCCATGGAGAACTTCAGCTCTGAACTTGGGGGAAGGGAAGGAAGACAGTCTTTGTAAAAACGACAGTTTCTGTTTTTTTTTTTTTTAAAAATGGTAAGTAACATTCAGTCCAACAATACAGTTTCCTGTTCCTTTTTGATGGAAGCTAACACTGGGTGGTCAGGTTCTGTGACCTCTGAGTCTCCACTGCCCAGGAGAATGGACCGCCCCTCGTCCAGGGCAAACACGTCCGAGTTCTGGTTTTGGCATGAGTGTTTAACAACCTCGTTGGGAGTTGAGAACGTTTTGTCACACAGGTTGCATTTGTAGGGCTTGTTGGTCTGCACCAGCATGTTGTCCATCTGACTGCCCTCCTCAAACGTGCACAGTTCCAGGGTCTGTTTGTCCACCATGGTGTAGGTGTCGATGCTCTGGTTGAGGCACACGTGGCGGGCAGCCTGGTTAGCTCTGCAAAAACTCTTGTCGCAAGTGCTACATTTGAAAGGCTTCCCGGTGTGTATGTACATGTGCTCCCGCCAGTGGCTTTTCTGGATGAATTTGCGTCCACAGATGGTGCACTCGTACTTCCGCCTCTTCACCTCCCGCTCCTGGTCGGCCTGCTCCAAGTTGTCAATGTCGGCGATGTCGGAGGGGGGTGGTGTTTCCGACTGCTGCTGTCCGTCAATGACTGGGGAATCGGAGATGTGCTGTAGCTCACTGTCACTTATCATGCCAGCCTCAGGCACTTCCATGGCGTCTTTGCCAAGGTCGGCCGCATTGCTACAGAGAGACAGGGGCACGCGGCTCTCGCCCTGCTGGCTGGACGGGAACGGTACTCCGGTGTGAATCTGCAGGTGCTCTCGCAGGCTGCTCCGGAGGGTGAAGCGCCGGCCGCACAGGTGGCAGGCGTAGTACTTCGGGAAGCTTCCGTTCCTCTTCATGATGCTCGGCTTGACGTGGGCAATCGTGAGGGACGCGGGCTGCTCGTCAGAGGAGGAGGCTTCCAGATTGGTCTCCTCTCCGGGGGGAGGGGGAGGCACGGGAGTGGAAACCAGTTCTGGAGATAGCGAGGTCTGCAGCGGGTCCGAAGGGGTCATGTTTGTCCGATTCACCTGGGCCAGGTTGGACGTCAGCTGGGAGAGCTGGGACGCCTCTGGCACTGGCTCCTGGCTCATCCTGGAGTTCTGAGGCCTTGGGTCTCGCCCAAGTTTCTCAGGGGCCGCAGCAATCTTAGTGGCTTGTCTCAGCTGGTGATCAGCAATCTGGATGCCATACAAGGAAGAAGCCAGCGGGAAAACCTGATCAGGGTGCGAGAAGGCTCCTTGGCTGGCGAGGCTCGCTTCCTGGATCAGCGGGTATGCGTGCAGGAACTTGATTCCCTGCTCTAGGCGGACAGGGTCAATAAGCTGGGGTGCCATCTTCCCGGTGTACATCAAGTGCAGGAGATAGCTGAAAATATCGGGCTGAATGTCCGTGGGCTTCAAACGGACACACTCACTGAAAGAAACAAGAAAAAGCCTGTTAGGCAGATGTCAAGGGATGTTTCAAATGATAACATAAAGCTCCAAGAACAAAACACTTCCCATTCCCAACTGTTAGAAGCACTGACCCTGGCGGATCTTTTAGGTCAAAGTCTGGGGTTCTGCACTGATGCAATTCAGAGCACAGCAGGTCTTTCAGGATGAGTCAGACGATCTGCATGATTCGAACAATCACAGGGGAGCTACAGGTGAACCTTATCAAGTGCAGTCATCAGCACCCATTTGACAAGTAACGGTTTGGAAGCTTTGCTTCATGGAAGGGGAGAGCGCTGGGGCTGGGCTTTGAATCTGCGTCCAATCCAAAGCCGCCTCACCAAGGTCCTCTGACTGTTAAAGCGGTGCTGTGTGGCAGACAGGGTGGACTTGGTTATTCCCACTGCCAGCCACGGAAACTGAAACCCCCAAAGTTGAGGGATTTATTTGAGGTGTCACTAGCAGTTGGTGGTACCGCTCATTTTCTAGCTCAGATTCTACCGTGTATCATTTTAGAAACATCAATCTGATGGAGCGGCAAAAATGAGGAGTCCCCAGGATCTCTTTCCAAACAGTCAGTAATGACAAATTCTAATGCATCCTAAAACCCAGTGGTACATAAATATCCACGGATCACAAGGTACAGATGATCATCCACTAAGTGAATCTACCTAGAGCCAAGGCATTTTTAGCCTCAAAGACAGCTTCCTTGAATGCCATTAGGGTTATTAGTTTTGATTTTATGACTTTTTGTTATTATAACTCTTGTTGGCCCTTTGAGCAATTATGTTCATTATTTTTCAGTACATTAAAATACTAACATACCCTTCACTTCTAAATTTATTTTATGCAATTTAAAAAAGAAAAAAGTGACTTTAACAGAAATTTTGACAGATCTGAATATATATGGTATTGCTATCATTGTGTAGATTTAAGAGACTACATACAGTTGCATGAAAAATGTTTGACTACAAAGTGTATAAGCCAAAGGAAAAAAATCAAGCATTAAAAACTAGTACCCCTTTGACAGTATAAAGAGAAGAATATGAGTATGTGTGACTTTATTTCTCTTTTCTTTTAAAAAAGACACACAGATCGTTCATATCTTTATTTGGTGTTTCAGAATATTCCTTTAAGCACAAGATGTGTTCCAACAGTACTGTATGCAAGGTACACCATAGTTAAGTACTCTGGGCAAATTCAGAATTTCAAATAAAGCTTCAGGGACTGTGTATAGTAAAGAAGACTTCAGTGATACAATAACTCAGGTGAAGAAGAAACTGGGGCCTTCCCAGGATCAGGCAGAGGCCGAAGGAACGAGGAAACCCTCCGCCTTCAGAGGCGTGGATTACCCCAGATTGACGGCTCCTTTCCTTGTGCAAGGACTGTAGGGTTCTTCAGGGGAAGGAGGGGACAGAGTTGGGGGCTCTTGGTGGACTCCTACTCCTACCTCCCCGTACCCCCGCCAAAAGACAAAGGGTGGAAAGTCAAAGAAGACTTGCATTGTAGCATCCGTGTGAGGCTCTACTGAGCAGAGCCCCTTCCCACACAAGCTCTGGTGCAAGTTTTACAATTATTTTCTCTCATTTATTGCTAGACTGTCCTGCCTATTGCCTGTGAATGGTCAACCCGACAGCAAACCTCTCAAAGGGTAAAGAACTTTGTGCAGTCCCTGCTTGCAGGGAAAGGAGAGAGCTGGGGAGCACACGGCCCATGCCACAGCCAGGCCTGGAGGGAGAAGGGGCTCCCAAGGCCTGCCGGGCTGTTGAGTGTCAGGAGGATGCAGTCAGTCTCTGGGCTACAGCCAGGAGCCCTGGGGCCCGTGGATGTCTCCAGACACCAATTTATTTTGATTTGTTTACTTTAAGAAATGTTTTTTTAAGCAGAAACACATGTGCACACATACACACACACACACACTTGGAAGAACAGGTGGAGTCTGTCAAGGTTCCTAAGTCATATTTCAGTCCTCACCATCCTTGATGGCTTTTCCTGCCAGGCAGGCAGCCTATACTTCTCTCTTACTCACTCGATGTGGGCAGCCTTGGCTCATCTCCCTGCCCTCCACAATATAATTCTATATATCTGCAAGGCTTAGTTTGCAGATGTGTTTGACATGAACCTTTTATATAGTTTTAGTACAGTTTTAGCCTGCTTACACGTTCACAGTAATTTCCACTTTCATATTTTCCTTCACTAGAATTTTAATATAAGGATTTACAAGTGATGTTAAGCACTGTGGTTAGCAAGGCCAGTCCCTCTTGGTTAGTTTGTTTTTGCCAGCTCAGTCTGTAGCCTTATGTGATTTAAACTCAGTGTAGCGCACAGAAGACAGAGACCCCTAGTGGCAAGTATAGGACATAAACTGTGCACTAAACTAACCTGAAGACATCTGAGTGAGCAGTCAGGCCTAGGCCACAGCGCCTGGCACAGGAAGTGAAGTGTAAAAGCAGCCCTTGGTCTCCGTCCCGTGTGTGTCTCAGTGAGCTCGAATTCTGCACGCGGAGGTGGGCACGGCCGGCCACCAGGCAGCAGCCCAAACGGCATGTGTCAGTCACATCTGCTGCAGGAACACCCACTACTGCTTAAACCTGGGCCTTCAATTACACAAATATCACATTTCCTGGTTAGAAAGGCATTCACCTGCTGCCCTCTACATGAGATAAGCCCCTTGCATCTAATTAAAATCTACTACAGTGTATCTTTCCTCCTCAAAATAGTCCCCTCCCCCTTTGCAAGACAGTTGAAATCAGTGTGGTGAGAATGTTAACTACAAAGCCCTCAAGAGCCACAAAGTGTCTGACACAGTGAAGCTCAGAGGACGCCTCCTCCGACACTGCCCTCGCCTTTGCGCCTGTTATTCTGTCTCTGTGGTGGCCCCAAGACTTGTAAAGCCCAGTCTTTGCCCTCAGAAAACTTACGTAAAAGGAAGCGGGTTAAGTATATATAGAAGCATCAATTTAGGCAAACAGTGCAGCTGTTGTAAAGTGGCACCAAAAACACGACAATAATAACAACAACAAAAACCAAAAATGATGGCCAGGTGGGGGTGGTGAAGATGAAGGGTGGGGATGTCCCAGAGGGCCCAGCTGATGAGGCTGGAAAGACAGGTTCTGAGCCTGCAGGACCTTGAGTGACAGAGTAAGGAGACTGCGTCTTATCTGATATGCAACAGGTATCTGATATGCAACAGGTATCGTTGTGGTTGTTGATCAAAGGAAGAACACTAATCAGAGGTACACACCACAGTCAGAGCAGGGCTTAGGAATATTAGTCTGAGAATAACGGAGGAAATGAATGACTGGAAAACAGAAGTGACAAAGGGAAGGGAAGGCAACAGGTGAAAGGCATTTTGGAGGAAATATGATTTGGGACCCTTCCGATGTGGTTTGAGAGATTTTCAGCTTGGGTTACTCGAAGATAAGAACACAGGCAAGTCAGAAGGGGCTTCTGGGAAGAGATCTGATGTAGATTCAATCCTAAATGCCCAAGAGGCAGCCTGGGGCCTTGGAACAAAGTTCTGGAGACAGACAGATCCTGGCCAGAGCTATAAATTCCAAGTTAGCAGAAGAGGCAAGATACAGGGGAAAAATAAGCACTCCTAGAAGAGTGGCAGGAGGGACCCGGGAGGGCTCAAGACCCACACCCAGGGCACAGCATGAAGGAGCTAAGACCACCGACAGTGGGTGTAAGGATGCAGCTGAAGAATGAGGAACACAACAGCGAAGGCTGCGGAGGACAGTGGTTTTGGTGAGGGGGTGACCTTGGGAAATGCTTTCAGCAGAGTGATGGGATGGGAACCACCGTGCACATGGACAGGAAGAGTGTGGGATGAGGAAAGCACACACAAGGACATGATGAGCCTTTTGAGAACTTCCACGGTAAAATCCAGGAGTAACTCAGGTAGACAGCAGGGCCTGAGGCATCCTGCTCCCTGCAGACTGCACGCCGGGGAGGATGGAGACTATCAGTGCACAACGCACAGGATGACGGCAATGGCAGGGGGCAAGATCTCGGAACACAGGCAGGGAGGACGATGGCTTTCCTCGGACACTAACAGGCCTTTTACTCTCAGAAGGAGTGATGGGAAAGAGAGTACTGGGCCAAGATATAGAGAGGTCTTAAGGCAGACAAGAGGGACCCCGGAGAAATTCACAGTCTCAAGTGCCTCCTGAGAGTAGGGAACAAGAACAAGTGTTGGAAGTCAGGGGGCTGCTTACGGTATCGGGACTGGAGGAGTGAGAGAAAGGCCTCAGATACAGAGTCCACAAAGCTTCCTGACAGAGGGGTCCCCTGAGGTCTCCCGCAGGCGGGCTCCGTGATGGACCCTGCCCAGCCTGACTGTGCAGGCGGGGGCTGCGTGGAGCTAGCAGGTGCGGCGGGCATCCTCAAGTGCTCCTGAAAGCACGTGCTGGTAACCACAAGGGATCTGGGCACCTGGAAGCCCAGGAGAGGCAGAGCCCGTGGTGTGATGTGGGCAAAGAGCCGGCTCCGTGGGAAGAGGGGCCGGGCAGTGAGGGAGGCTACAGTCATTAGATTATCATCAACCACTTTAGTTACCTGGTCTGATGGACAAACAACATCTTAAAGTAATTGGAGAATGAAGCAAGAACTGATTTGTGTGCCTTGAAGTACACATCGCCGATTGCAACCGTGCAGTCACACAGGAAACCAAACTCTCGCTGAGCGTTTAACTGCTGCAGTAGAATAAGTCCATGGTTGGCCAAATCCATTTTTTAAAAAATCTGCAAAGCAAACAATTTTATTTTTAAGAAAGGTGATTCACAAATAAGAATGTGTCCTTTAAAGTCACCAACAGTAATTATCATAGCTGTCAGGCGCCACTAACCACGATCTATAACTTAACTCATTTAGAATTCACAACAGCCCCCTGCGGTGGTTCTGTCATTACTCCTGGTTTACTGATGATGTCAGAGAAACCAGGAAACTTGAAAGCAGTGGTGTGCTTTCAAGTGCTTGACACAGCAACTACTCCTGGGCTAGTCAGTCATTTAAGACCCCAAATAGTAATGCTATTGATGCATCAGAATTTGTCAAAGCTTCCACAGAGACAAATTAGGGTTGTGGGCTGGGGTCATCGCGAAGCAGGATGAAAATGTTACTAAGTTTAAGGCAATTTTCTTGTTCCGACAGTAAGCACCTTCCAGGGATGCGTAATGGTGGACACATCTGTTATCCCCTTGCTGTTAACACTTCAAAAGCGTGAGGGACGCAGGGTTGGTGCTCTGCTCCCTTTGTTGTAGAGAAGAAAATGGGCTTTAATACATACAGGCAATTTGCTCCAGGCCTTCCAGCTAGAGTGTAGGGGAGTCAAAGTTTAAATACAAATATGGACTCTAAATTCTCTGTCTTTGCTCACACTTGACCCTAGGAAAGCACTCTGGCCTGAACCACTCTAGTCACTAGACTGCTCCTTTTTCCACAAGCAGCATTTATAAAAGCTTTCTGTACATAGATCGGCATTATACTAAACATTATGCTTGATGGGGAGAAACAGCCTTCCCCCTAAGACTGGGACGAAGATGCCAGCTCTCACTACTCAACAAGTAATGGAAGAACAAACTAGTACAATAAAGCAAGAAAGGAAATAAAGAGCAAACAGATGGGAAAGAAAGAAAGAAAACTGTCCTGTCTGGCAGATAACATAATTGTAACATAGAAAATCTCAAGGAACCTACAAGAAACTCCCAGAACTAACATATGAGTCTCATAAGGTCATAACCATGCAAAAAAACCCAAAATCAGTTGTAACTGTATACACCAGCAATGGCCATGTGGACATTGAACTTAACAGTATCATTCCATTTACAGTAATTAAAAAAAAATAGCAGGTATAAATCTAACAAAAAATGTGTATAAAACTTCCATGTTGAAAACTATAAAATAATGATGAAAGAAATCAAAGAGGATCTAAATAAATGGATAGACATACTACGTTTATGAAGGCTCTCATACAGAGGGTTTCGTTTTTCCCCAAATTGATATATAGTTTGACACAATTCTTATCAAAATCTCAGCAAGTTTTTTTTTTTTTTTTTCAGATATAGAGAAGACTACTCCAAAATGTTTACCTTGAGGCAAAGGAACTGAAATAGCTGAAACCATTTTTCAGATGTAATAATGGAGAGGGAAGAATCAGCCATCCAGTTTCAAGATGTGTCACACTGCTTTAGCATTCAAGACTAGGTAGACATGCAAGTCAATGAAAGAGAAGCTGGAACCCAGAGACAGGCCCACAAAATACACACAACTGACTGCTGACAAAGGTGCAAAAGCAATTCAGGAGAGTAATTTTCTGAACAAATGGTGTTGGGTCAATAGAATTTCCATGAGCAAAAAATAAAAAGAAGAGAAAAGAAACAATCCTAGTCTTGTACCTTATAGAAAAATAAACTCAAAAAGGGATCATGGGCTTCAGTATAAAATACAAAGCTATTAAACTTTTTGAAAAAAAAAAAAAAAAAGAAAGAAAATTGTAGGGCTCTAAATCTAGGCAAAGAATTTTTATACTTGACATCAAAAGCAGAATTCTTAAAAGGGGAAATTGTTAGAGTGGTCTTCAGAATTAAAAACTTTTGCTCTGTAAAAAGATGAAAAGATAAACTGAAGACTGGAAAAAATGTTTTAAAATCTTTGCAAACTATTCCTTTGACAAATGACTATTATCTGCAATATATAGAGAACTCTCAAGACTCATCAGTAAAACACTTGTAATAGATTTGGAGACACAATTCACCTAGGAAGATATACAGATGACAAATAAACACATGAAAATATTCAATGTCATTCACCACCAGGGAAATACAAATTAAAAACACAATCGCCACACACCTATCAGGACAGCCAACAAACAGTCACATTACCAAATGCTGGCAAGGAGGTGAAGAAACTGGATTACTCATGCACTGCCGGTAGGAATGTGAAAAGTGAGGTTATTCTGGAAAGTTAGGATTTTCTTAAAAAACTAAACACGCAAATACCATATGATTAGCAACTGCACTCCCAGGCATCTATCCTAGAAAAATGAAAACTTAAGTTCACATAAAAAACTTGTACACAAATGTCCTAACAGCTTTATTCCTAATAGTAAAAAACTATAAACAATCAAGAGGTCTTTCAATAGCTGAATAGCTACATACCAAGGGTAACTACTCAACCACAGAAAAAACAACTCCTGAGGCTCAGTGAAAAATGCCAATCCTAAAAGGTTACAGACTACATGACTCTTTTGATATAATAATATTCTTGAAAGTTATAGACATGGCGGATAGATTCCTAGCGGTGGGCTAAGGAATAAAACATGGAGAAGAGATTCCGAGTGGGTTGGCTACAGAAGAGCAATAGGAGCGATGCTTGTAGGGATAGAACCTTCTGCAGTTCAATTGTGTCCATGTCAGTATCCTGGCTGCGTACTACAGTTTTGAATGATGTTTCCACCAGGGGAAACCAAGTACAGGACCTATGAGACCACTCCATGTAGAAAAGGCGTAACCACACAGATTAGGGATCGGGGGATGCATGAAAGGTAAGGGGCACAGGATGAGAGCCAGATATGAGGCTGGGATTTCAGAGGAACATGCCCTCCACCAGGAGGCAACTTGGAAGCTTGTCTTTATGGCTCTTTTCTGTGTCACAGTATTTCCTTTTCCACCTTACTAATATGCTTTTCTCCAAAGACCGTGAAGCACAACCCTGTCAGTGTTCTCTGATCCCGATCAGGTTCACCTGTGTGTCCAGCTTCAGGCTTCATCACGGTAGCTTCAAGTGTTAACACCACATTCCTAGTTCTCTCTTGAGGATAAAGATGGACTGACTCATTGTTATTTATGGAGTGCTACCATCAATCACTCATTTCCATATGCTGCTTCATTTAATTTCACACTAACTTAAGTGAGATATTCAAGGCACTGGTACCTACATTTTTATAAATGTGGAAATAGGCTTAGAGAGTGCAGGTAGGTAGCTTGCTCAAGATTATAGCAGCAATAAATTGAAGAAATGAGATTTAGCTCTTTCCTGCCATCTTTCTGTGCTGCCATCATGGTGGGCATGTACGTCCTGGCCTTCGTTCTCAAGAGCATCAACAATGCTGAAAAAAGAGGCCAGTGCCAGGTTCTTATTGGGCTGTGCTCCAAAGTCATCATCAAGTTTCTAACTGTGACGATGAAGCATGGTTACACTGGCGAATCTGAAATCACTGATGATCACAGAGCCGGGAAAATTGTTGTGAATCTTGCGTGCAGGTTAAGCAAGTGTGGAGTGATCAGCCTGTGAGTTCACAACGCAGTTTAAAGATCTAGAAAAATGGCAGAATAATCTGCTTGCATCCATCCCACTAGTTTGGTTTCATTGTACTGACAACCTCAGCTGGCATCTTGGACCATGAAGAAGATGGACACACACAGGAGGGAAAATTCTGGGATTCTTTTTGTAGGGATGTAACACATGCATACAAATAAAAGCTCAATGGACTCTGGTGTTCCAGGAGCAGGGAATGGCATCCAGGTCTTCCACAGAGAAGACAGGGATCCAAGTGCTTGAGTAAGCAGCCAATGCTTTCCCAGGCATCATCAGCAAGGAAGATAGACCGGAAGTGGGAGCAGCTGGGACTCTTGAAGCTGCTCTCCAATATGGGATGCAAGTGTTATAAGCAGAGGCTTAACAGGCTGTTACACAATACTGGCCTCCTCATTTTCTTCTGCTTATAGAGATTTTATATTTTTATATAATTAATTAATAATTTTTTATTTGAGAAACAGCAAGAGATCTCCTATCAGCTGACTGACTGTCCAACTGCCCACAATAGCCAGGGCTGGGACAGGCTGAAGCTGGAACAGGTAACTCAACTTGAGTCTCCCATGTGGGTGGCAAGGACCAAGGACTTGAGTCATCACCTGTTATCTCCCAGGGTGCACATTAGCAGGAAGCTGGAATTGTAAGTTGAACTGGGTTATGAACCCAGGTACTCCAATATGGTACATGGGGATTCCAAGTGAGGCCTTAACCACTGCACCAAATGCTTGCCCCCATAGAGATTTCTGGCACATATAATTTTGCTTTAACATCATTAAAAATTTTTTTTAGTTAATGAATTTATTTGAAAGAGTTAGAGAGAGAGAAGTTGGGGGGTGGGGGGAGAGAATATCTTCCATCTGCTGGTTTACTCCCCAGATGGCTGCAATGGCCAGTGCGGCACCAGGCTGAAGCCAGGATCCAGGAGTTTCTTTTAGGTCTCCCACGTGGGTTGCAGGGGCCCAAACATTTGGGCCGTCTTCTACTGCTTTTCCCAGGCCATTAACAGGGAGCTGGATGGGAAATGGAGCATCCAGGACACAAACTGGTGCCTTTATGGGTTGCCAGTGTCTCAGGCAGTGGCTTTACTTGCTATGCCACAATGCCAGCCCTTGTCATCAAATTAATGAATATTTCTAAGAGGATTTTGGCTTTTACATTAATGGATGTATATTATCTCCTTCAATGAATCAAAATACATGGTTCTCTCTCCTTCCATAAGCAAACTAATATACATGTATTCTACTTAGACCCTAAGAATGAAGCCATGATAAAAATGTTTAATGTTGCTTTTTCAAGGGAGTTTTGGAGTTATTTTAGGTCCTCAATTTAGCAACTAGGAAGCCCAAAGGACTCAGGTATTGAAACAGAAGTAAGAATGCCCCTGCCCGTGTGACTCCAGAGAAGCAGAAAAGCCAAATGAAAAGAAAGAAAAAAAAGAGAACAAGTCACATGCTTAAAATTCACAGGAGAAAACTCACAGATCAACTTTTTAAAATCTTACTTTGGAGACCAAGAAAGCCTTTCTCAAGGAGAACAATGGAATCCCTAGACTCTTCCATGTGAGAACTAGCCTGAGAAAATGGGGCGAGAGGGTGGTGGATTCTATCCAGAAGTGCATCACAAGCAGCTCTTGGCCCACCCAGCCAACGTCTTCAGATTTTTCTCTCCTTCCTCATCACTGTCCCCCCGCTCATGGGCTCCATGAGGCTTTACATGCATGGAAGTGCTGCACGTGCCAAGGACGCAGCACTGGAAGATGGCTCTGGTCCAGGCTACCCCTCCTTCATGGAAATGGCTGGCAGTCCTTCCAGCTCATCACTGGCTCACTGGCTGTGGTTGGGCTCCTGCCTACTCCTCACCAGAGCAGGCTCACCAGGGTCAGCCAGGGCTGTATGGACTTAGGAGCTCACTTGACTTCTCTGTGGAGTTTTGTACCCATTCTCTTGCTGTGATGAATCTCTGCTTCCAAGCCAAGGCTCTCTGGTTTTTGTATGCCCTCTGGCTATTCCACTTGCTACAGTCCTTCAGTGTCTAGGCCACAGCCCCCTTCTCATTCTATAGCCTCTCTTAGGTGATCTCATCCTGCTAATGCTTACTTTGGGATTCCTGTCACCTATGTGGGAGACCTGGATTGGGTGACCAGCTCCCAACTTCAGCCTGGTCCAGCCCCACCTGCTGTGGGCATCTGGAGAATGACCCAGTGAATGGGAGCTGTCTCTCTGCCTCCCACCAAAACACAAGCAAACAAAAATCAACAAAACAAACACAAAACCCTACAAAAAAGGGACCTTCTGTTTTTTCTCGCTAATAATTAAGTTCTGAATAGTGCTTTATTACTTTGTGATTACCCTGTAGGATAAAGTGCCTCAGAAGAATGAGACCAGAGACCCAGGCTGGAGACACAGGTCTCCTTATAGACTGTGGTCCTCATCTTAAAAATGAGACGTTCCGGAAGGGGATTTTTAGCCTGGTGACACAATAAGATAGCCACAATTATGAAGGCCATCCTGACCTGTGCAGTCAGGTGGTTACCACTGCAGAACTCACGAAACTGGGGAGTAAAACGTGGTGAGGGGAGATCTGTTAAAAAGTGACTTTCAGGGCAGATGGTCTAGTAGCCTGAAAAAGAGATGACAGCTGAGGTGGTGATGCTGAGGATGGCAGGACATAGGCAGGATTCAGGAGATATTTAGGAGAATGAAAACCAGCAGAATCGGTTGCTGGGTGGATCAGGTAGAGATGGAGGAGGATGGGGAAGATCAAAGCGACTAAGAGGATTCCCAGACTTTATTTGTATAACTGGATGGATGGATCCTGTGGATCCTTGTGTTTTCTACTGGGGCAGAACACAGGGCAAGGACCCAGTTTGGTGTGGAAGAGTCTGAGGTTAGGTTCAGGTATCTTGGGTTTGAGATGCTTTGGAGACCCCCAAGCAGAGACGTTTAATATGTGTGGTCGTATTGGTCTGGAGGTGAGAAGTCCTGTGATTTATCTCTGAGATTCCTCAGAGAAGCTAGCTGTACCCAACTCCTGAAGCCATGTTCTTAAATCACTACTCGGGGTCCGAGAGGCTAAAACTGTCAATAAAGAGTTGAGATTGAACCCCACTTTCCTCTACGTTGCCTTGCTCCACAGAGCACTCCTGAAAGTTCTTACTGATCCTACTCAAAGGGCTGACAATCAGACATGAAACTAAAGACCTGTACAAAATCTCTAACCATGTAATACTGATAAATGGAACTGTCTTTTAAAGATTTATTTAATTGAAAGGCAGTGTATATATATACATATATACACACACACACACAATATTTATAATTTTATCTATCTATCTATCTATCTATCTATCTATCTATATATATATATAGAAAGAGAAAGAGAGAGAGATCTTCCATCCGTTGGTTCACTCCCCAAATGGCTGCAATGGCCAGGATAAGCCCAGGAGCAGGAGCTTCCTCCAGATCTCCTACGTCGGTGCAGGGGCATAAGCACTGGGGATACCCTCTAATGTCCTCCCCGGCACACCAACAGAGAGCTGGACTGGAAGTGGAGCAGCCAGGACCCGAACTGGCACCCACATGAAGTGCTGGTGTTGCTGGTGGTGGCTTCACTTGCTAGACCACAATGCCAGCCCCGATAAGTGGAATTTTTTAAAGATGTCAACTAAACGAGAACTATCAAGCTGTTCCTAAATTAGAATAGTGAGCAGAGAGGAACTGAAGAAAAAGAGAGACGGAGAGGGGAGGCAATGCTTCCAAGTGGGTTTTTATGGAATGTCATCTTCATGTAGGAGGGAACTTTGAAAGTTCATGGAAAAATGGATTTAAAAGCTAAGTTTATTTTGGTGCAAAAAATTTTTGAAATTCAAGTAAAGAGGAAGGGGTTTTCAGGAAATTATGAAAAACTACCACAGGTAGTCTCTTTCTTAAGTAAATTCAAGGACTGTAAGACATATGATGGGGCCGGCACTGTGGCACAATGGGTTAACGCCCTGGCTTGAAGCGCCAGCATCCTACATGGGCGCCGGTTCTAGTCCCAGCCGCTCATCTTCCGATCAAGCTCTCTGCTATGGTCTGGGAAGGCAGTAGAAGATGGCCCAGGTCCTTGGGCCCCTGCACCCATGTGGGAGACCTGGAAGAAGCTCCTGGATCCTGGCTTTGGATCGGTGCAGCTCCGGCTGTTGCGGCCATCTGGGGAGTGAACCAGTGGATGGAAGACCTCTCCCTCTGTCTCTACCTCTCTCTGTAACTCTGTCTTTCAAATAAATAAAATAAAATCTTAAAAAAAAAAGACATATGAGTAGTCATGTTGAAGCTTTAGAAACCAAAAAAGCAGTTTCCAAAGTCGAAAATCAATGATCACTTAGGCTATGTGGTGCTGTGGTTTCCATCCCACTTGGATGGAAGGATGCTGACCATCTGTGGTCAAGGCTTTCAGTCTCTGCCACACACCATGTGTGGCTGATCCATTAGCTAGTAACTTGGTTTTGGTTTTGAGTTTTAAAGTTCTTCTTCTTCTTTTTAAATTTTATTTGAAAGGCAGAGGGACAGAGAGAAACAGAAAGCTCTCCCACCTGCTGGTTCAGTCCCTAAATGCCTGCAACAGCCGGAAATGGGTGAGGCCAAAGCCAGGAGGGAGCACTCAACTTAGGTTTCCTAAATGGGTGGCAGAAGACCCAAGTACTTGGGCCATCAACTGCTGCCTCCCAGGGTGCGTTTTGGCAGGAATCTGAAATCAGGAGCAGGGCCAGAGCTGGAACCCAGACACTTCGACACGGGATATGAGATTCCCAAGTACTATCTTAATTGCTGTGACAAATGCCCATCTCAGTTATTCATCTTCAAACGTGCAGCTGAAGAGAAACCCACAATCAAGTTATATTTTGACCATCTAAATTCCTCCTTTGCTTTCACTATAGGAACATGAGATCAAAACAGCTTTTGGGAATTGTGAATTCACTTTTTAAAGATAATAGCTTTTCAGAGACACTAAATACCACTTAGACTACCCGAGTCAAGTGCACTAAAAGGGTCCTTTGAAGTCCTTGATTTTATTTAAGTGAAGCATAAATGAATACGGTAATGCACAGGGCACATCACTAACAGGAGAAGCATTACCCACAAGTCAGACAGATTCTTCCAAGTAGCTTAGACCACTTACCAGGATGAAAAGCTGCTTTTCCAATTAGTATTATTAATAATTAATATTGCAGTGTTCATGAAGTAAAGTTGAATGAGGCTGATCACTTGAATTTCAATATATTTTAAAACTACTTCAGGGGCCAGCACTGTGGTTCAGTGGGTACAGCCTCCGCCCGCAGTGCCGGCATTCCATATGGCCGCCGGTTCGAGTCCTGGCTGCTCCACTTCTGATCCAGCTCTCTGCTTTGGCTTGGGAAAGCAGTAGAAGGTGGCCCAAGTCCTTGGGCCCCAGCACCCACATGGGAGACCCGGAAGAAGCTCCTGGATCCTGGCTTTGGATCGGCTCAGCTCCGGCTGTTGCAGTCATCTGGGGAGTGAACCAGCGGATGGAAGACCTCTCTCTCTCTGCCTCTGCCTCTCTGTAATTCTGCCTTTCAAATAAATAAATAAATAAATCTTAAAAACAAACAAACAAAAACCCCTGTACTTCAAAGATAGGAAATGCATCGTATTTATTGTGATGACAGATTGGCATGCTTAACATTTCTTTAGTCAACCTTCTTTCAGAGTAACTGGAAAAAGGAAGCGCATAAATTAACTAACAGTCTTATTTTCACATTGGAAAGTATCACATGGGTAAAAGATCTGCCTTTTAAATTATATTTTGCTTATGTTTACATTAAAAACTAGTTTCAAAATTTAAGTTGCAGTCAAAAGTAGGCAGTTCAGGGACATTTTAGGTGTCAAGTAGAAACTAGGTCAGATATTTATGGGTAATAAAGCATTCATATTAAAGTGATTAATTCTAAAGACATTGTGCTATAAGCAAATTTAAGGAAATTTACGTTAAGATCATACAGACAAATTAAACCCTAATCTGCTTCTAATAATCAAAGTAGAATTTATCTTCTAAAAATATTTTAGTTATTTGAAAGGCAGAATGAGAGGAGAAAACAGACAGAAATATATATTTTCCATTTGTTGGCTCATTCTCCAAATGGTCCCAAGGGCCAGGTAGAAACCAGGAGCCTGGAACTCCATCTGAGCCTTCCACGTGGGTGGCAGCGACCCAAGCACTTAGGCCATCATCATCTGCTGTTTTCCCAGGCCTGTTAACAGGGAGCTGGACTGGAAGCAGAGCAGCTGGGACCCAAACCAGCACTTGATATGGGATGCCTGTGTCCCAAGGCGTGGCTTAGTCCACTTTGTCACAACACCAGCCTCGATTTGCTATAAAAACTATAATCTACGTGAGCATAAAAAGATCTTGAAAATATTCTCCAGGAGTAGGTGTTTGGCTTGGTGGTTAAGACCCTGGTTAGGTTGCCTTTGTCCCATCTTCAGAGCACCTGAGTTTGATCCCTGTTCTCATTCTAGTTTCCTGCTGATGCATACCCTTAGGAGACAGTGGTGATGGCTCAAGTGGCTGGGGCCCTGCCACCCACGGGGAGGCTTAGATGGAGTTGCTGGTTCCTGGCTTCAGCACCCCAGGCCACTGTGGCCTTTTGGGTGAGTGGACAAGCATGGAAGCAGCCTCTCACTCATTACTTCTCAAAGCAAAAAACCTCCATCTAAGGCTTAGAATGTTTGCAGCTTTTTTTTTTTTCCCTTCAGAAAAATAAAAATTCAATTCCCTTTTTCAGAATCATGGCTGGATACCCAAAGAGCGCAGAGAAATAGGAAAATGCATTTTGAAATTATGGTAAAAACCCCCAGATCAGTTCTTTCAACCTTCCTTTCCTATGACGGCCTGCTTGCCCCACTTTTCAGTTCCTATGGGGAAAGGTGAGTGGGCCTAGGGACAAAGCTCTAAGAGACAGCAATAGACGGCGGCGGGATCATCACTAGCTGCAAAGAAGCTGATCCCAAGGCAGCGCCACAGGGCAGCCTCAGATGTTTCCTTCACTTCCTACCCCCTGAGGGCACCTCAAAAAGGCTGTGAAAACTGGAATGAAAAGATTTTTGGCACACACAAAAAACCTGAAATCCACAGAGACTTCTTCAGAAAGTTTATGGAAAATGTGCCTTGTGAAAAAACCATGCACAGACTTCAAAATTAATTTACACCAAAACAAACTTATCATCTTTTAATTCTCCTGCCCACCAACTTGTTCAAGTGCCCTGGTATTCAGGTAATTCTCAAGCTGGGGAAAGCACATGCAGTTACTCGGGGACCTGCTATGGATACAGGGAACCACAGGGGGTTTATAAAAGGCAGAGTTCTTTGAGGCACAAAAAGTGTGCTACCGTGGCAACCCCCCCCCATGAGACTGTTGGGGGGGGGGAGAGCAAGCAGAGCATCAGTTAGACCTCCCTGTTAGAGAGGGTGGCAGGGAAGCAGCTGGGCTGTACCTTGCTCATTCATGGGCTCCTGCACTACTGACTACCGGTACCACTTCACACTGGCATCACTGCCTGTGGTTCAGATATTCTGGTGTCAGTAACAGGCCAATTGTTTGGCCAGGAAAATATGTACAGACCACGAGGTTGACACGAGAACCGCCTACTGTAAAGAGATGCGCTGTTAGTTGGGGTACTTCCTTTCTGAAAACTACCTTTTACCTTTTTCAAAACGTGCTGCATATACACCAAGGTTACTCACAACGCAAAACAGAACTGACCAATGAATTCTGGCTTGTGACAAGTGAGGACGAAAACGTCCTAGTTCTGCTTTTACGTGAAAATGTCAGTCCTCTCAGGCCACACCTTGCTGTGGCACTCCCTCGGGGTCAACGTGGACGGCGGACCCTGGAGGTCAGGGCATCCCCGATCACCCTGGAGCTGCGCGGGCTGCCAATTCGGACCTCTTTAGGCCGAATTTACGAAAACAGTAACCCCTGGAGGTGGATCGCGCCCAGGCTCACACACTAAGCGGGCCCATTGTCTGCTCAAAGAGCAAACCGCGGGTGCGGACGGGCGGGGCGCGAGGGACCCGGGTCGTCCCCTCAGGCACGGCCAGGGCTGCAGCCGAGGGCGTGAGCTCCCGCGGCCGCAGCCCGGGCACCCCGTCCAGTCGCTTCTTCCCTCCCGGCCGACGGCGACAACTAGACCGAACAGTCGTATCCGCGGCCTTCCTTAAAAAAAAAAAAAAAAAAAAAAAAAGCATGGTCGCGGGACTTCGCTGCAGCGCAAAAAAAAAAAAAAGAAAAAAAAGAAAAAGAAAAAAAGAAACAGAAAAAGAAAAAAAGCCGACTCCGGCCCCGGGGGACGGCTCCGCCGCCCCCACCTCCGCTCCTCGGAGCCCGACCGCGGCGGCCCCAGGCTCCAGGCGGGCAGCAGACAGCGCAGCGCCGCCGCGGGCCCCCGGGGCTTTATCGCAGGCGCAGATCGCTCCCGAGGCGGAAGCTCCGGGCCGCAGCTCCGCGCCGGCGGCGCCCTGAGAGGCCCGGGCGCCCCTGCCCGCGGAGCGCCGGCCCAACCGCCGCGCGGCCCCACCCCGCCCCAGGGGGCGGGAGCCAGGCCGGGGGCGGAGCCGCGGCCCCAGCCGCCCCCAGGCCGCCCGCAGGCCGCGCCGGTCCCGCCCGCCCCGCCTCACCCCCGAGGGCTGAGGCGAGCGGAGGGGAGGGGCGACGCACTCCGGCCGCGCCGCACGCCTCGCCGCTCGCCTCAGCCCCGCGTGCGCGCGCGCGCTCGCCCGCTCGCTCGCCCCAAGTCCCGCGGAGTTTAGCACAATGCGACGCCTACGCCGTGCGCGACGCCCGGGCCGGCGCAGCAGCCCCGGCGCCGGGGGCGGGGGGGGCCCGGCCTGGGAGAGGGGCTGAGCGCGCGCGAGAGCCGGAGACAGCGCGAGACCCGAGCAGGCCGGAAGCGCGCGTGCGCGCCCCCGCCCGCGAGCGGGGAGGCGGAGCCGCAGCAGGAGCGGCAGCAGCTGTAGGAGCCGCTGCAGCTGGGAGAAGCGCCAGAGAGGCCGGGCCTGCTCCGGTCCGACCGGATCCCTCCCCTCCCCCTCCCTGCTCGCTCCCCTCCCCCAAACCCACTTCCGCAGCTCGCGGCCTGGCCGCCGAAGCAGCAGCGGCGGCAGCAGCAGGAGGCGACGGCGAGGCGGCGGGAGGATTACGCACCTGACGGGCCCGCCTCTCGGGGCTCCCACGCGGGACGCTCGCCGGCCGCCGCCGCCGCTCGGACGCACTTCGCGGTGGCGGCGGGAAGGGAGGCACCGGCGGCGGGGAACGGAACGCGAGTCGCCCCCCTCCCCTTCCTCCCTCCCTCCCTCCCTCCTCCTCCGCTCCGCCGCCCGCCCTCTCGGCTTCCGTCCCCTCCCCCTCCCGCAAAGCCCCGGATGGAGCCGCCGCCGACTCGCCGCCGCCTGGCTCCGGGGGATGGTTTTGTCAGGCGGCCAGAGACCCGGCGCCAGGCGCCGCCGCCGCCGCCGCCCCCGCGGGGCGCCCCTGCCCTCGCTTTCCCAGAACCGGGGCCCCGAGTGGCCCGGGCCCTCCGCCTGCCTTCACCCGGAGCCCCGGGACGGGGCGGTCATTCGCCGTCTTTGTTGCCACCGCCTCAGCCGGAACCGTTTGCGAGCTCCGGTGGCCCCCGCCCCCCACCTCGGTCTTCCCGGAGCCCGGGCCGGGGGGCGGCACGTGGGCACCGGCCCCGGGAGGCGGCGGCGGTGCGCGCTTACCTGTCGCCGGTGCCGCTGCGGCGGGGGGTGTGGAGGAGCCACAGCTGGGCAGCGTCGGCCACGCTGTCCCCGCCGCCGCCGCCTCTGCCTCTCGCCGCCGCCGCTGCTGCTGCTGCTGCTGCTGCCGCCGCGGTCGGTGTCTCCGGCGCGGCGGCGGCGGCGGCGGCGGGGCTTTTCCTGTCCGGTTACGTTAAGGTCACATGACCGAGAGAGCGGAGCGACTAGTGCAAAGAGGCTGCGAGCGGCTCCCGCCGGGGGGGAGAGGCGGCGAGAGAGCAGTGGCGGCAAGAGCCCCCTCCGCCCCCCAGCCGCTCCCCTCCCCCCGCCCGCCTCCGCCTCCTGCTGCTCCGCCGCCGCCGCCGCCGCCGCCGCCTGCAGCACTCACCACGCAGCCGCTCCCACCAGCTCGGCGCCCCGCTCCAGCCAAACTTCTGCAGACCATGTGCAGCCGAGGCGAGGAAACTTCGCTGCAGCGACTGGGGCTGCGGCCCGCGCACGGCCCCCTTGCTGACAGAGTGTGTGGGTCGGACGTCTTCTGCAGGCGCTCGGGGCAGGGATGGAGAAGTGCCGCTCCGCCTGTGCTTGACACCTTTGTCCCCTTGACTCCCCGTGTGAGCTTGGACTTGAGAGCCGTGGAGATACTGTAAATCACCAGTACCTTTCTGTCACCCGTAGTGATGGGAAGTCGAGGTGAAGTGCAGAGGGCTGGAGGTGCGATGTGAGGCGGGCCTGGCTGGGTAGGAGTGGACGCTCATCCTAGGCGTTGGATTTTAGTTCACGAAGCTCTGGTTCCAAAAACCAGAGTCTGCAGGGCATGTTTGTGGTTTGAGAATGGTTTACTTTCCTGGTAAGTTTTGGTTTCTGAGGTGCTGATAGAGTGGATCCTAGAGTTGGCAATTCTGTTAGATTTGGAGGTCTGAAAACGTTCACCAGGGAAATCTCCAAAACATGGCCACAGGGCAGGGTAGTTAGGATTCCTTGATGGTCGTTCTTAACGTTTTATAATTCACTTTGTAGTGTTGCTGTTTTGCTAAATCTGTGGAAGTAGGGTTGAGTCTTGATGACTGGAATTTAATGATTGACTTGTTGCACATGTCTAGAGTGTAGAGTGTAAGACTTGATTGGTAAGGAAAAGGAGGCAGCAGTTTACAGGATCTCTGGTTTTGAATCTTGACCTGTTTTGAAGAACCTTGATTTGATTGGTGTCTAAGCCATCCTGTTTGTAAGTATCGTGATTTGACTGGTGTCTAACCCATTTTGATCATACAGCTGTTCTGCCGAGCACAATGCCTGGCACATAGTTTATAAGACTTTAGGCAAGCTCAGTAACTTAACGACAATTTAATATACAGTGTCCCTTTTAAAAAACTTGAGTTTGATTTAGCAATCCAGTTATACACACACTGCTGATGACTGATTTCTTCTTTGAAGGCGAAGTAAGCAACTGTGTAACTTGATGGCCCCCAAATGAGTAATTGAGTATATACCTGCCTTGATCAACTAGATAAGTGATTGTTGGGTGCTTGACTATCTGCCCCCAAAACTGAGTTCTGACCCCGATTGTTCTAGCGCACCAGCGCTGGATCATCAGAGTTGCCCTTCTGACTGGTAGGCGGTTCCCTGGACTGGCTCTAGAATCCAGATCTGTTTCATCTTAACGGGAAACTGAAGTGATTTTGATTGTTTCACAGAGACTTACAGAGATACTAAGGTCTTGATTCTTCCAGACCCTGAATCTGAAAACGTTCAAGTTGATGGTGTTGATGGAGTACCCAGGTGAACAGTAAGCTGACTTAAGAGAAACTGATAGAAAAAACTGAGCAAAACTGATTCTAAAGATTTTTTAAAATTTTTCATTACTTTATTTATTTGAGAGGGGGAGAGAGCTCTTGTCTGCTGGTTCACTCCCCAAATGCCTGCAACAGTCAGCGCCTGGCCAGGCTGAAGCTGGGAGCAGGGAATTCAGTCTGGGTCTCTCACACGGGTGGCAGGGACCCAACCACTTGGGCCATCACCTGCTGCTTCTCAGGGTTCACATTAGCAGGAAGCTGGAATCGGGAGCAGAGCCTGTGGGAACACAGACACTACAGAATGGATGCTGTCATCCCACATCCCAGTCCGTGTCATAAACTACAGACCCATGCTGGCCCCAGTGGTAAAGGCCCTTGAGCAGAAACTTGGCTATGTGGTTAGAATTGGCCTTAAGTCAGAATAACTATGTTTTTAAGGCCAGTGACTGGTTTCCCAGTATTATGCTCCTGTATAGATTTATAAAAGTAAATCCAGGGGCCGGTGCTGTGGCATAGCAGGTAAAACTGCAGCCCGCAGTGCCGGTGTCATATGGGCATCGGCTTGAACCAGCTGTTCCACTTCTGATCTAGCTCTCTGCTGTGGCCTGGGAATGCAGTAAAGGATAATTCCTTGGGCCCCTGTACCCACATGGGAGACTCAGAGGAAGCTCCTGTTTTTGGATCCATCCAGTTTGGCTGTTGTAGGCATTTGGGGAGTGAATCAGTGGATGGAAGACTTCGCTCTCTCTGTCGCTCTTGACTTTCAAATAAATAAATAAATACGTTTAAAAAAAAAATCCGGGGTAAGCCCTGAAACTGGGCATCCTTCCTAGAGATAATTCTGTCAAGAGCTGCTGCTCTTGATTTCAGAATTTGGCTGCTAAAGCATAGGGAGACAAACTTAAATTTTGCCAAGTATGCAGGTTATTTTGATTTTTAGTCACCATTATGGAATAACAGTATCCTAAAGAGAGCTAGTCAGACTGCTGGCTCCTCATTGAAATAGCAACATTTATCCCTTTGCAAAGATTGAGTAGAAAACAGTAGTAACCTTTGCAGAGAGGGGCTAGTTAGTGTGTATCAGGGTAAGTCCAAGAGAAACTGTTGGTTGTTTAATAAGTCTTTGTTGTAGAACCACAAATGCTTTAAGTAATAAGAAAAATAAGATGCTAAATCACTGTTGAGTCTATGTACCAAATTATTTTTGGTATTTTGGAAATGTGGCAAATTAGGAGTTCAAAAATAGTTTTCACACATTCATTAGAAGTTACACACAAATATTCTGCAAAGTTCTGTGTTACTGAAAGTTTTTGGTATGTGTTCTGCTGAGGCACAACCATAAAAATATACTTGGTTGTTCTGAAGAAAGCTCCAGTGAGACTTGGACAGTGGGCAGAAAACAATTTATATGTGCTTAGTTTTGCTCAAGTTGAAGGTAGAATTTCCTTTAACATTGATAATAGAAGAAATAGTAGGAGGAAATAAATGTATTTAGGGCCCCAAGCAGTGTTTTCATTAAATAATTTTATAAAGGATATCCTGTTGAGTTAGGGAAATGACAAGCTTTTACATGTTAGAATGTTAAGTCTAGGGTATATACTATATCCTGTTTAATATCAAGCTTAACAAATAAGATGTATTTTAAGTTTCTTAAATATCGTTGGTTGGTCATAAAGTTTATAAGAAGTTCTTGTTTTATAGTTGGCTGTTGTTGACAGTATTTCCTTAAGGAATTCCCTAATGCTTTAGGGAGCTGTTTATTTTAAACTTACTGGTGTAGACCTTTCGGTTTCAGTGTTTTCAACTGTGATTGTAAGAAATACATTTAAGTTGCTACTTAGTGCACACATACATGTAAAACTGAAGATTTTCGGGAATACTACTTACTGTTATGGGTGATGAACTTTGCTATCTTGGATTTCATTTAAAAAAATTAATTGTGCTGCACTAAATTGATTTCATCAACCACAAATGGGGCAGGTCCCATAGTCTGAAAAACACTGCTGGTGTATTAGTTCTCTTGTTATAAATTAACTCCAAATTTAGTGGCTTAGAACAATAAGCATGTTTTTATCTCATATGGTTTCTGTGAGTCAGAAATCTGGGAGTAGCTAAGGTAGGTGGTCCTGGGTCAGTCTTCCATGAGTTTACAGTCCCGTTGTTGACAGGGGCTGGAGGAACTGCTTTCAGAGTGTCTCATGCTCTGGCAAGTTAGTGCTGGCTGACTGCAGCAGGTCTGAGGTCTTCTCCATTGCACTGTTAGAGTATGCTTACAACATGGTAGTGGTTGGCTGTCCCTGCAGCAGCTGATCCGAGCAAGAGCAAGAGGAAGCCACATATCATCGCTTCTGCCGTGTTCTATCAGCAACAAGTCGCTAAGTCCAGCCTGAATTTAAGGGGGAGAATTAAGCTCCTCCTTTTTAAGAGAGGAATACAAAGAGTTCATGAACATCATTTAATAACTGCTGCAGTTCTATATTTTTCCAGTTTATGGATGAGTTAGGATTCAACCAAAAACCTTGCTGAGGTCAGTCTTTTTTAATGAAGTCATTTTTGTCTCTGAGGGCATCTAGTCTGACTCCATTCTCAATTTTAAGGCAGCAAGTCCAAGAAGTTAAGTAATTAAGTTGCCCAGGGCCATTAAGTCTAGGAAAACTTAACAAATTTTCTCTGACCTTTGTCATGAACAATCTGTGGGCTGATAAAAATGAGAAATTTGGCTGGTAAACTTTAAAAGTCTTTTTGAAAAAAGTTACAATGTTAGAACTGTTCTAGTCCTCTGTTCCA